GAAAGACCCCATTCAGGGGGTTCTGGGGCCAGGATGGAGGGTGCAGCTGACCAGAAGAGAGCACTGCAGCCCCTCATGGGCTGAGACACTCCCAATATCATCTGCAACCACCTGGGTGCTTAGGTCTCTGTCTCTATTTCAAACTCTGTCCTCCTGGGATTCCTCTCTTTGATTAATTTGCATTGCCATCTAAAGCAGTTTGAGTAGGTTTTCTAGTTGTTGTACAATGCCCTCCAGTTCATAGCCTCAAAACAAAGGATTAAAAATAAGTTTCTGGCCTCTGCACTTAAACGGAAACCTTTAGTCATCAAAACTGGCTCACCATGAACTTCCCGGCTTGAAATGTCCATTTCTCCCGCTGATGCGCGCGAGAGAGTGAGTTATTTCCACCGGCTTTCAACTGACCCTTAGGCAGGAGGGAAGAATAGGTTCCCTGTTATTTATTTGGGTGTTTTGGGCAATTTGCTGGATATAAAAGCTGTAAGTACGGCAGCAGCTGGACTTCCTCGAGGAGGGGACAAATAATGCAGACTTAAACGGTGTTCAGCAGGAACGAACTCTCAGCGACATCAGTGAACTTCCAGCTTAATTCAGATTCTATGAACCCACAGTGTTACAAGAGGTCCATTTTCCTTTGGATTCTTTGGGCCGTCTGGGGCCCTGAGGTCCCTTATTTCCCCCTGGAGATGCACTTGGCTTGGGGCCACATGTGGGCAGGAGCCTTCTGGCCACTGGTGGGTCAGAAGTGGCTGCTCCGTGAGGGTTGTTAGAAAACCTAAGATTTGGTGCCCTGCTGGGGAAACATAATAGACAGCTTCACTTTCACACCTCTTAAGGTCTCTTTAAAAACAGTCCCTCTGGAGGGAGGCGTGGGGGGTGGGGGAGGCGGGATGTGGCGCTTTCCGCCTCTGTATTTTTGGAAATTTGAAGAAGATCAAATGTTCCTTCTTCACCTGTGCCTCCCTGGCCCCTCACTATGCCGTTATGGCTGCTTGGTGGTTGGCAGTCACCTGGGGGAGGAGGCGGCCAGATGTTCCAGGTGGTGCTTCAGGAAGGAACAGCAGGCTGCTGGTCCTGATGGGCCCAAATTGGTCTCCTGAGACTCCGGGGTCCCCAGTGCCTCATCCTTCTGGACCCTCTGTCTGTCCCAGAGCAAAAACACCTGGGAAGCCCCTGCCCATCTTACTTCCAGAGCTTGCTCCTCCTGCAGCCTTCTCTCTGCTGACAGCAGCATCCTCCCTCTGTCTCTAGATAAGCAAGTTGGTATCATTCCTGACCCCCCCCTTTGCCTCCCACCCCAATTCCACCTTCAGCATGCATCCAGAGACTGAATCCACTCGCTTCCCCCTCTTGTGCTCCCCTACCTGGTCCCAAGCAGGGGGAGCCATTATTCACACCTTTGGCGATCTTCCAGCCTGTCTCCCTGCCTCTGTCCCAAGTCCCTAGTCTCAACACTGATCAGAGTGACTCTTAAATAGTATGCTAGATCTCCACCTCACTTTGCTCAGATCCTTGTCCATGTCTCTTTGTGTCACGAGGCATGGCATGGGCACACTGACTGGCATGCCCATGATTTTGAGTCTTGGTATCTCCCAGCTCTTTCTGGGCACACTGGTTTCTTTCTTTCTTTAAGAGAGAGAGAGAGGAGAGAGAGAGAGAGAGAGAGAGAGAGAGAGAGAGAGAGAGAGAGAGAGAGAGAGAGAGAG